AATTGATAAATATATTACTGATAAATAAAACTTTTTTTTCAAACATTTTATTTTATTCGCATTGTATATAAAGTCCGTTGAAGCAATTTAGTAGTATCTGATTAATTTACGTGAAATATAATATCCTCTGCGCAAATTATTGCTTTTTTATTGTGTTAATTTATTGCAATTAAAGTTGAGATAATTTTTTAGTTAATTGGATTTAACTAAAATAAAAAACAAAAATCAACGTTGAATTTACGTTGTTTCAACGTTGTTCTAACGTCTTATCAACTACGTACCAATCGAATATATAACCTATTCAAAGTTGAAATATGGTTGATATGTAGTCGATAAGACGTTAGATCAACGTTGAAACGACGTAATCATCGACGTTGTTTCAACGTCGTAGTTTTCGACGTCGGATTTTATTTCCAATTCAACCAAATTTCAACGTTGTTTCAACGTGGTATATGGTCGGTTTGCGACGTCGTTTCAACGTTATTTCGACGTCATTGTGCCTGCTGGGTTTCTTTTAATACACAACAACAGTTTCAAAACTCCGTAACAGTTATGAGTTGACTCAACAAATCAGAAACACGTTGGACAGCAGATGCTGATAGAGCAAGTGCTTTGTGGAAGAGTTAAAAAAATATTTAATCTGCTCTAGATACCATTACAACTGATAAACGTAGAAAAGGTGAAACTCGATAAGAGATGTTTGGACTAGTAAAACGTATTGGTGAATTGAAAACTGGTACTTTGACAGCAAAGTATCAATAAAAAAAGACTAGCTTTGCAAAGTGCTACGTTACATTATTTTAATAAAGCTGTTGGTTTATTGCATTCATTTTTTGAGTATGTTCAATTGTTGAGATGTTCAACAGAATTGAATAAATTTGAGAAATATGGAAAAGAGTTGTCCAAAAATAAAGTATATATAAAAAAAAAGGAAAAAAAGTCATAAAAAGAAAGCAACAGTTCGATGAAGGTACTTCTGAAGAAGTTCACCTGCTTTAAAAAGATGAGTTTTGAGTATGTATGTATGTATGTATGTATGTATGTATGTATGTTTGTATGTACGTATACATGCATACATATGGGAGTTTTTCATAATTTTTATTTGTTGACTTATCTCAGTTTGAAGAGTGTTTAACTTACATCAATGTATAGTATTTTGCTTGAATTACCATCACGTTTACCAGAAGTGGCATTTGCTTTGTATACAATGTTGTAGGTCAAACAGCTATTGAGTAAAGGCAATTTCTTTTGTTAAAAAAGTTGCCTCTATAATGTTTTCTTTAGATAACTCTGGTGATATTTCAAGCAAAAAATACACTAGTATAAGCAGTGGCGTAGAATAATCAAAAAGATTGAGGTGAGGGGGAGGGGTTTAAACGGAAATTAAGAGGGGGAAAAGTTAGCCTGAATCAGAATTTGAATAGAAAAAAAGAAATTTTAGGAAAGTTGGAGGATGGGGGCTATTACCTCTTCGCTCCCCTATTCCTACACCCGTGAGTATAAGTGAAAAACCCTTGAAACTGAGATATGTCAACCATTTAAAATCATTCAATATTCCTAAATATAAAAGCAATAAAAAAGTTTGAAAATTAGAAGACGATGTGAATATATGTATAGTATGTCAGCGTATAACCTAACAACCTAATCGTACAAATTATGCATTAATGAAAATAAATATAAAATTATTTCAAACAATAAAAACTTTTATTAAATAAAAAAAGAAAAAACTATATAAAAATATCGACATTGAAATAAATTCCTTTATTCTCAATTCGAAACAGGTTAAAGTTAGACCATGGAAGTATAAAACAGATGGAAGTTCAATTGCATTAAAATTCTTCGGGACTATGCACGTAACCTTTTGTTTTGTAAACAATAAGAAAATGACATCAAGACCGCCTAATCTTTATACGTTGACGCAAATAGGTACGTTTAAAATAATTTAAAAATAAAGGTCAACCAATAATATTCAAGAAAAGCATTAAAAATAACGCAACAAAACGGCAAACAACTTTTTTATAAACTTTTTATTAAATGAATGGAGTAATACAAGAATGAATGGAATTATGATATACAACTAATAAAACTTTAAACTTTAGTTATTTAGAAAACAATTTTGTTGATTTTTTAAAAATTGTTTTAGTTGTCTTTTTTATCAAATGTCGCGTTATGACTTGAAGCAAGAAAAGAAGCTTAAACTAACATATGCTTTTAAAATCAACTGGTTCTATTTAATTACCGAGTTTTAATAAACCTTTTGTTGAATAATTGCAATTACTAATGGTTAAAATTTTGCAGCATAACCCTAGAATAATTCTTTTTTTAATGTTTTTATAAAGATCATTTCAGTAAATTTTGTTGTTTTTTTATCTAGTGAAACTTGTTATCTTTTTATTGTCGGTTACAAGCATACTCCCGAGACGACTTGAAATTTATTTAATATATAAAACATAAAATATAGCTAAGTACTAATTTTTAATTTATTTATGTAATATTTTAGTTTAATTAGCTCAGACCGTCGTTAGACGTAAAATAAAATACAACTAAAAGTACATTTTTAATTTGCATTTTTCAACGCGTTTTTAATTTCTTGATTTTAAAATATAAGGCAGATGACTGCCGCCAGGCAGTCATCTGCCTTATATTTTACATGCACACACATGTATACATACATGCACACACATTTACATTTGTACACAAAATGTACAAATGTAAATGTGTGTGCATGTATGTATATATATATACATGTATGTATGTATATATATATATATATATATATATATATATATATATATATATATATATATATATATATATATATATATATATATATATATATATATATATATATATATATATATATATATATATATATATATATATATATATATATATATATATATATATATACATACACACATAAAATAAACTCATGCAGGCAATAAATTATGATATTTTGCCCCGTCCTTCCCTACGCACTATAAAATTAAGAATCAGAGATTAAAGAAACAGTAAAGAAATTGAATAAGAAAGTAATCAATTATTTAAATTACGTTAATAAAATTAAAACAAATCGTTTGAATGTCTTAATCAACTAGAAATTTTGAACTGAAAAATTTAGTCTCTTTTTTACATTAGCTAGATTATTTTTTACATTAGCTAGATTATTTTTTACATTAGCTAGATTATTTTTCGACGTCATTATTAAGTTATTAATAATATGTAGAATGCAAGACATAGATAATTTTCATGGCAAAAAAAAAAAAAAGTTTAAAAATCAATATTCCTGAGACACGAATCGATGTCTATTAATTATAAGATAAAAGAAAAAAAAATTTTTTAATTTTGATGAGTTCTTGAGGTTCCTCTTTGGATTCTAAATCCTTGACGGATTCTAATATTTTTGATTTTTTTTTTCTTAACTATATCAATTTTGGACTCAAAAAAAGCAGAAAAGAAATGCTTCTTTTATCAATAATAATTTTATTAAAAAAAACTTTTAGTGAAAAAAATATTTTCAAAAATATACCTTAGAACCCCCGTTTTGATGAAGACGGGGGTTTTTTAATGAAAAAAACGACATTTTTTTTCTTTAGTTTTAAATTAAAACAAATATTGTATTCAAAATAAACGTATTATTCTGCTTCTTTTGAGTACCAGGTTGATATAGTTTAGAAAAAAAAATTTGAAAAATATTAGGATCCGTCAAGGATTTAGAATCCAAAGAGGAACCTCTATAGAGGTTTTAGATCTAAAACTCATTTAAATTAAAAAAAAAAAAGTAAGGTTCTTTTTACACCAAAAGACATCGATTCGCAGCTCAGGCAAATCAAATTTCGAAAATTTTTAAAATCGATTCACCGTAATAGATAATATGGAGATAATACATAAACATGGGGAGCCATAGAGCAAATAGTGAGGTTTTTTTTTTTAAAACAAAATTTAAATTATGCATTAAGCTCAACAATCTAACACTAACCTATATTTGTATATTTATATCTTTTGTTTATTATGTTTTTTTCTTTTATACATATAGTTAAGGTTTTTGTGACAGAAGGTTTAAGATCTTTAAGAAACCTTATGTATCCGTTTAGTCTTGAGATAGGTTTTAAATAATACATTAATACTATTATTATTTTAAAACGTTGTGTGTTATTTATTACTGTTTTTAAATTGTAAACTGAAATAAAATATGTAACTTAAAACATTTTTTAAAATGTTTGTTTTATTTTAGAGTTTAAAGTTTTTAAGAAAGAAATTTTAAAGAAGTAAGTTTAGGTTTATTAATTTAAAGAAAAATCAAAAAATTGAAAAAAGAACTTTCATGCATCTTCTATTTATTGGTTCATGGTAATGCAAAAGTAAAAAATGTAAAAATAGACAAGCAAAAGTAGACTACATCAAAAGTAGACTACATAATGTACTACATCAAATTTGTTGAATCGAGATTAGTCAGAAATGAGACATTTGAAAACACTTTTTAAAATGAGAAAATACTCTCTACCCCCATACTTCAAACCGATGTCGCAAAACTTGCCCAGACGTGGGGTTTGAACCAGGGATCCTTTATTAAGATCCTTTATTTATTTTGATAGAGAATTTAAGGCTGCTTAAATTCTCTATCAAAAATGCGAAAAGGAGCTAAATCAAAATAAAGTTAATCAATAATGAACAGAGTTAAACAAGCCAAAGAGTGTTAACAGCAAAACATTGTGTAAGATTATGTTCATCACATAAAAACATTTACACGTTGTCACATAAAAAACTTTTTTATTTTAGACATATCAGTAACATGGTACAGCGTTACAATAAATGTGTTTTCCTTAACTAGTTCTTTCCCAGTAAACACCGGACCAAAAAAAAGACGTCTTTTGAACGTTCAAAAGACGTTCAAAACGTTAAAAAAACGTTCAAAAGACGTCAAAAACGTGTCCAAGGAAGTTTTAACCCTCCTGTAGTAACATTACCTATATAAAATTAAAAAAAAAAGTCACTGCATATTAATGACAATAAAGCACTTAATTTAAATATAAATAAATACAATTGATAAATATTATTTTTTTAGTTCGATTCTGAACGAAAACTCTTTCTTGCCGTTTGTGCATACTCAAACACCGAATTTCTGGTCAGGCTAGAAAGCGATCTTTGAACTTCTTTCCGAATATCTTTTCTATAGTAAGCGTAAAAAATTGGATCTAAACAAGGATTAAACAAAAGAATGCAATATGATACTAAAGGAACATATTCATTTAAATTTATGCTACTTTGCAGCATGATTTCAACTACCAATGTCGGAATCCAACAAACAAAGAAACTTATTGCTACCATGATGCTTACTTTCAGAGCCGCAGGGTTTCTCGCTTTTTCACCGGATAGTTTTTGTTTTACAACAAATACAATTTTAGCATATATAAAGCAAATTAATAACCCGATTATCACTACCATGCCAAACACAATTATTGTATATATAAGATTAATTCTTTCGGAAAAACTTTCACTGATGTTCTTATTTAATTGCCACGTAAATGGCGTTGCTGTGAGAAGTGCAGTAAGCATCCAGCCACTCGCAATAATTTTTTTTGCTCTTTGTTTTGATAAAAATGCATGGTATTTATATGGCAAAGTAATCGATAAAAAACGATCCCCTGCAATAAGCACCAGATTTATGACTGAAGCTAATGTAGTAAAACTTATAAGACTACCACAATATATTAAACACGAATTATTTTTCTTTTCTGCAATTCCTTTTTTAAAAGCACAATATTCGCATGGTGGTACTGCAATACCAACAAATATATCACTTAAAATCAAAGATATTACAAAGTAACTTTGTTTTGTGCGTAGTTGTTTGCTTCTATAAAAGCACCAACACACCATAGCGTTGCCAAAAACAATTATTACCACCTCAAAAGTCAAGAACGACCAAAAGACAAAAGGATAGGATGCTTTCACTTCAAAGTTACTGTCCGTTGAATTCATTTTTTAAACAAAGTTTTCTATTTTAACATCTTCAATGAACTGATAACTTAAAAGAAGAAAATGTTAAAATAAGAATATGAATAATTATGTTAAAAAAACAAGATGTTACGGAAACCTGATTAAAAGTATTGCAAATTAATATATATATATATATATATATATATATATTAATTTGCAATATATATATATATATATATATATATATATATATATATATATATATTACATATATATATATATATATATATATATATATATATATATATATATATATATATATATATATATATATATATATATATATATATATATATATATATATATATATATATATATATATATATATATATATATATATATATATATATATATATATATATATATATATATATATATATATATATATATATATATATATATATATATATATAACAAATAAAACTTAAAAAATTAAACACATGAACGAGAAAAAAAAATATTTTTTTAATTAAAGATTTAAAAACATATTTTTTAAAATATTTTTATTTAAATTTTGAATTATTAAAAAATTTAAAATCTTGATCGCATTAAAGATGTAAAGAAAGACGAACAAAAAACGTTGTGGTATGAACACTATAATTTGTAAAGTCACTTTAACAAAAGAAGCGGGGTCTTCAAATGTCATGAATATATATTATAGGATTATTATTGTAGGAACAAAAAAACTCCCTTCAAATAGCAAAACAAGCCCCATTTTTTTCAAAAAAAAAAAAAAAAAAAAATTATAATAGCTTTAAATATTATCAAAAATAAGTAAATAAAGTACTTTAAATAAGTAAATAAAGTACTTTAAATAAGACAGTCTATGTCAATAATTGCAAACAAACAAAAATAAAAAGAAATCAAAATCATTACGAAAGAGAATGTTTATTCTTTATAAAAATTTTAAGTATAATTATTATTATAATTAATATTTATTGATAATTGCATATCTTTTGGTTTATGGCGTAAAAATATATCCTCAACAACATCCTTTAAAATTTACAATAATTACTTTTTTTATAATACGCACTTCGTCACTTCGTTTTAAATAATTTTTAGAGTTAAGTTTCATTCTGTGATGTTATGGCGCATATATACATATATATATATATATATATATATATATATATATATATATATATATATATATATATATATATATATATATATATATATATATATATATATATATATATATATATATATATATATATATATATATATATATATATATATATATATATATATATATATATATGTATATATATATATATAAATATATATATATATATATATATATATATATATATATATATATATATATATATATATATATATATATATATATATATAATGAAAATAATGAAAACCCACACCACCAGGTAAAAATGATAATAAAATGAAGCAAATAAACTTTTTCAAAAAGCTCTTCGGACATTCGACGTTTTGTGTAATATTTAAGATTATTGAAAATTTTGCTGTTTATTTTAATGGAGCAAATATAGTTTTTACTTCCAACAATCTTTGGAACTACCAAAGTATTGCAAAAAGAGTTATCAAAAATGAAACAGCTAATATAGTGGAGAAGTATTCTAAAAATTCTTAAATGAAGAAATTTTAGAATAAATAAAGCACGCAACGATGATATTATTTTTGATAGAAACTGCTGGCTGTATCGGAATTATAATACTTTTTGGCAGAATACTGACCAAAAAAAAAGTTAGTTAGGGTCAATTAGATTTTTCTTTTCTAGTTCTTAAAGTAGGGCTTATTTAAAAGAGTCTTAAGCAACTTAAACATATTTTGCTAGGAAAAAAGAAATCAAGGCAACTTCCTTTTAATGTTGTATTATTTATTATGAATATGTTAAATACGTCACAACTGTTAGATATTTACTAAAATTATATAAAATCTTTATTGTATTTTTTTTCATTCATAAAATACTATGGTTGCACGTACTTAAACTTAAGCCTCTTTAAAGTCTTTTTGTTTTTGTTGTATAACGCGTTTTCTGATTCGTTCGAGCGTAACTAAATTATCAAGATATGACTAGTTATAAAGAGTTATTAGTTGAAGTGAGTGCGCGCATAAGGATAGGATAGCATCTCATATAAGTCTGAGGTTCATTAGTATTATACTCTCCATATCGTTAGTCTTCAATATTTTAAATTAAAGCTGAAATATAACAAACTTAATAATAGTAATAAAAATACAAAATTAATAAAAAACATAATAATATAATGTTTTTGTGCATACAATGTCACATCCGGTGTTTTTTGAAAAATGTGTCCACTAGATGCACAGGAACTAAGTTCAATTTCTCAAAAAAAACTCAAAAAAACTCAAAAAACTTTTTTAAATAAAACGAGATAAGTCCTAGTAAACTGAATTTGAGAAAACAACGAAAAACTAAACTACTCTTAGTCACCAACAAAAACTTATATTTTCTTTGTCCATTTTTAGAACCAAAAATTTTAAAATTGATCTAATATTTAAATAGATAATAGATTTTAGTATATAGAATGTGGAAATAGAATCAACTCATTTTTTTTGACTTTGCGCGTTTTGCAGATGGGCTAGTATAGGGTAATCTAATATAGGGTAAAAACGGAACAATTTAGAGTAAAATCGAAAAATAAAACCGAAACGGATAGAAATATTTAATAATATATACAAATATAGAAAGAGAACAATTTTCTCTTTTTAAATATAAAATAATCTCCAAGTCATTTTCCAGCCATTTTATTTTTTTTCTAGCTATTTTATTTTTTTTCCAGCCAAATTATTTTTATAAATGAGCGTCATTAGCTCTATTTTATATATGAAAATTTTTAGAAAGTGTCTCCTGTTACACCCAAAGGTTTGTTCTATATTATAAAATAACGCTTTTAAAATTTCTTCAAAAGTATGTCAACCTAGTACTTAAAATAAGAGAAATTTTATAAAAGTTTCAAAAACGGTAAATTTTATAACAGCATGTTTAACTATAAGTAAAACTTTTTTTTAAATAATAGCTTTAATGCAATTAAATCTAAAGTAATAATAATTATGTAAAAATATTAATTATAAATTATTATATAGTTACAACAGTTGTATATATAACTAAATTATATATATAATTTTAAGTTAAATGTATAAAATTAAGTTATTTTAAAAATTAAGTTATTTTTAGGGTTTTTTTTTATGTTTTATACATAACACTTTAAAGCATACTTTTAACATAAGTTTAAACTTATGCCAAAAGAGAACATCTTGCAAAATATCGCAATGGTTGAAGCCTGGGAAAACAAATATACCGAAAAACTTGCTTCCCTACCACTAGAGAACAATGAGTTACGAAAATATATTTTTTAGAATATTGTACTAAATTTAAACTCATCAACAAGTTTAAAATTAATAATCTTTAGACGTTCAAACAAAATAACCATGTAAATTTCTGCCCTTCCCAAAATGAGGGGGTTGTAAATTTCGCATGGTCATAACTTTTGAATGCTAAAAGATTATTAAATAAAGTTTAAAACCTTTCATAAAATTTAAGTTTAGTTTAATACACTAAAAAATCTTTTTTATTAAATCATTTTTCGTCGTTTGAGGTAGAGAAAGTGACGACAAAAATTAACTCAAAAGAGTTATTTTTGTATCCAGGTTCCAATCACCGCAATTTTTTCCAGAACACTCTCATTTTGCACAAACATGAATATACTTAAATTTGGAGATTTTACAATACCAGAAAGTGTCATATTTAAAACATCTAAAAGTCCTGCCTACACAACTGCTTAGTATAAATTCTTTACTAATTATCAACAGACATTTATTTATAATACATATTTACACTTCAACAGACATTTAGTTAAATATATGCCTAGTAAAAGACGTATTTTAAAAATCTTAAATACGCAATAATGCGTTTAAATACGTGCTTTTGACGTTTCAAACACGTCTTGTACCCATTGGGTGGTGCTTATACAAAAAAAAAAAAAAAAAAAAAAAACATTCAAAGTTGGTTATAAGTTTTAGATTAAGTTTTAGTAAAATAAAATATTTCACTAGTTTCAAATGTTTTAAAAATAAAACCTTCGCAGAAATGCATTTTCAAATTTTCAACAATTTTTAAAAGTGCAAACACTTTAAATTATTTTTTTTATACCACGTTAATAATTATTCTCGAACTAAATAAAATTTAAACGCGGTGTGAAGTCTTCTTTTTAAAATACATTTCTTTCATCAGGTGGCGTTTTACCAATATTGAATGATTTACCCAAGTTATTTTAAGGTATTATGGAAGTGATACAATACATAGACCTTAAATTGTATCGTAGTAATTTTTTAAAAATAGTGAAATTAGCAACGAGCTTAATATTATATTAATCTTACCAAAGAAATATCATTATCACCATACTTGTTTTAAAAAAATGAAAAACAACATACAAACAAAATAAACATAACACAATGCAACTAAACTAAATGGATAATATTGATTTACAAAATATATATCTATCTGAAAAAAATGTTTTCTTTTATAATGGTTGAGCAAAAATATTATAAAAGTGTCCAAATAAAAGGGAAAAGTAATCCAACAGAATAATTTATTTAAATTCAACAAGTTTTGATTAAGTCAAGTTGTTGTTTTTTTTTTTCATAAAAAAAAACAACAGTCACGCACAGCAATTGGTTTTATTTCATTTTCAAAGAATGTTTAAGTTCATACGGTTAAACACACAGAATAAATTTCTTACTTACAAAAAATTATCTAATGGAAAGAGGTTTTATTTTAAATTTCAATTTAGCATTATGATTCATTATTAATATTTTAAACATGCAATTTAATATACGCTTTTTCTGGTTATTCCGAATTTTAATTATTTCTATTTTTGGTATGATTCAAATCAAACGCAGTGAGTATTTTAATAAAAATATGTTATTTTTAAGCAAAACCACATGTAAAAATTATGTTCGTTCGATTTTTCGTGTCAAAAATAAACATTGAAATAACAATTCAAATGAAAATTGGGTCAAACTGTTCACCACTCGCTGATTGAAGATATGAAATGAAATCAGAACTGCTCAGAATATTCAAAACATCAAGCCAAAATTAAAATAAGAATTCTTTGCTTTATTCGAAAATAAAACGTAATTATAAAAATCATTTATGTAAGAGTGAAAAAAAGGCGTTATCTTAAAGACTAAAGTTTTGTTTATCATGATAATTTCATCACATTTATTACGTATTATTATTCTAATTTGCTATACCACAATTTTTGATTAAAGATTTTTAAAATACAATTTTTGTTTTTAGATAGCTAAAAGTAAATTTTTTTCTCTTCGCTTTACTTTCCCTTCTCTTTCATTTACTTGCTTTGGAAATCACGGTGGAGATAATTTAAAACGGTGATTTTTTTTACGGGTTATTGAGATTTATACTTTCTTTTAGTAATTTAATATTTTCTTTACAAAAGTCATTTTCCATGAAATTAGAGTTGGCTTTAATTTGTTTCGGTTGGGGTGCATTAAATCAGGAGATTACAGTGAATCTGTTGTGGGTTGGGTACAGTAAATCAAGAGAACACAGTGAATCTGTTATGGGTGGGGTACAGAAAATCAGGAGAACACAGTGAATCTGTTGTGGGTGGGGTACAGAAAATCAGGAGAAGGCAGTGAATCTGTTGTGGGTGGGGTACAGTAAATCAGGAGGACACAGTGAACTTTTTAATCATTAAAATGGTATTTATTTTTTTAAGTTTCAACATCTATATTTCATATAAAATTATTTTAGTTAATCTTAGATATTTGTAGTTCTTAAAAAATTGTTATTTTTACTAGTAAAATTTTATTATTAATAAAATGTTCTTCTTAATTTTCTAACTTTTTTTTATTTTGGTTTTACACTCATCTAACAAAACACCAGAAACATCAAGCGTAACGTTAAATGTAATGTAACGTTAAGCGTAACGTTTCATTATATTTTAGCCCCACAATATTTTTTTAGTATTAATTCACAGTATCTATAATGATTCATTGTGTTCCAGTACTAAACCCTATTATCAACTGCAAACGTGATTTAAATTTTATTGGGCCAGAGGAGGTGCTAACTAATAAATTACATATACGGGCATACATTTAGCATTCACTTTTTAATTAAAGTATTTGATATAATTTGGTGCCGTATGTAATATACAAACAAAATTAATTAAACAAATTATAAATAGACTGGTTTGTTGTTATTGTGGACGTTGATTTTATAAGGTAGACATTGTTAAATAATAACTGAAAGGTTTTGGTTGGGTCAAGGAACAAGTTTATTGAGCAAAAAATGCTTGATCTTGAACTGGTATATTAATAACAAGCAGCCGTGACGTAGTGGTTAGAGCGCTTGCTTTAAAAGCAAGAAATCCAGGGTATAAAGCAAACTCTAGATAAATTTCGGGCTGTTGATAAGGAAGGAGGCGTGAATTTTTTAGTTAAATGCTCTTCTACTTTGCTCTGTGACAAGACCAATAAGTCTTCTTGGGGCACCTCAATAACAAAAAAGTTTTTAAAAAAACAAAAAACAAACCTCAGAGGCTCATTTTAGTTCGTTTCCAAAACACATTTTTATTCTTGATTTAATTTTATAATTTCTTCAACAAAGTTTGCTACGCGTTGCTAGAATACAACTTTAAAAAACTATTTTGCATAATTTAAACAATATTTCAAGATATTATCAACGAAAGTCGAAATATTTTGAAAAGATGTCTTCAAGATAATGTTAAAAAGTTGGGAAGACATTTGTAAAGATGTCTTCAAGGTAACGTTGTTAAAGCTTAAATGAGCATTTTAAAATAATTTTTTTTTGATTTTGATAGAAAGCGGTTTAATAAGAACACTTCATATTTTCTAAACACATTTTCTAAAATCTGATCGCTTTTTTTAATTATAACTTTTACTTTTAGTAACTGTGAAAGTCTTGTAATCATGACTACAGCTGGTAATTTATTAAATGCTAAACTAAATATTGTTCTTTTTTGTTCTCACAGATATATTAATATCTGTGAGAACAAAAAAGATTGGAATCTAAAAGATTTGTTGCTAAGTATAAATCGTTAAACACTTTTTAAAATAGTGAATGAACAGTTATGTAAAGTTAGTGAATGGTTTGTAAGTAACAAACTTTTACTAAATGTGGATAAAACAAAATATATACTTTTCCATAAACTAAATAAAACAGAAAACATTCCTCTTAAACTACCAAATCTTATAATTAATAATACTCATATTGAAAGGGAAACATACGTAAACTTTTAAAAGCTCAAAACAGATTTAATATACCAATGAAATTTAAGTGATAATGTTCAAAATTCATCTAGCGATTATGTTAATTATGAAATTTTACATTATTTTTTTTTTTTTTTTAAATTTTTGTTCAAGTGTTTATATACATTTTAGCGGTTGTAAGCATTTTAACACTTCTTAATTACTTTCTATTTTGAATTTCTTTTATTTCTTAGTTCTTTTCTTTTTTAATTCTGATTTATGTCTTTATATATATTTGTATTTTACGGTTATGTAGAATTTTTTTTTTCATATTTAAGGGGCTCGGTAATAAGGAAAAATGTGCCTTCTTCTTGCTCCAGCATTTAATTTCAATAAATGTATATGCGATGTAAACATTTTTTAACGGCGAAATAAATTACACAAAAAAAAAAAAAAAAGATTGTATTTTTTTACTGGATACGAGATTTGTGAAATTCAGGGGGTACAAGAAAATTTTGCGATATTGTCAAAATTGAACAAAACATTTTTAAAAGCTTAAAACGGTATACTTACTTAGACATGTTTCGAAAATCGTACGAACAATCTTAGTAAGATTTCAACAATCTTACTTAGTCAGGTTTCAACAATCTTACTTAGTCAGGTTTCAACAATCTTACTTAATCAGGTTTCAACGATCTTACTTAGTCAGGTTTTAACAATCAAGGATTTCATTTTAAAAATCAAGGATTTCATTTTGAAAAGAAAAATGTTTTTGTTCAATTCTTTTTTCAAACATGTTTTATTTTGGACAATAATAGTAAAAAAAGTTTTATTAATAAGTCGTATTGCTCCTAAAATTAAAAAAAAACTATTGAAATTTAATATAGTTTTTAAGTTGAACAAAGTTTACTTTAATTGCAATATAATATTTAAGTTAAATTAAAACCATTATAATAAAGTATTTTTTTGCTGTTAATAATATTTTTGAGGTTTTAAACAAAGCTTTTTTTTATTCTTTTAACAACTACAATGGTAAGCAAAGCATTTCGAACTGGTAAATCAATAAACATATATAAATTATTACTTACATTTATTATGATAAGTGGTGTGCAATTAAACAATACAAGTTAAACACAATCATTTAATAGGTAATGGTAACGCGGGGTTATTTTTACATGTGGGTAACATTGACATGTGTTAGATTAAATATTTTACCCGTCACCCATTGACTATTGTTTAAATTATTTTAACAAATGCTCTGACCAGATGTTAAATGAACAAACATTACTATTTTTATACGGATAATAGTAAGTATAAATAACAACACAATACGACGAGCATAAATCAAACTATTTTCTAGTTTTTTCTTTTTGCTGAAAAACGTTAGTTAAAAGATAAGTAAAACCATACTATGATATCACTTTACATGTGTTTTTATGATGCTGTTTTTAAATAATAATAATTTTTTTTGTAGCACTTTTTTTTTCGACACATATTTCGGGGTCATATTAATAGAAATCCTAAAGTCATTCCATGGGCCGAGAGTCAAACAAAATTTGACGAAATGTCTTAAATCTGATGAATTTTTCACAATAAAATTAAATAATACTTACATGAAACAAGTACTTAATGTGTCATTTACCCTTGGTCTTCTAGGACTAACTCTTACTTCCGATCTTTCTTGGAAACCATTTATAAAATTCATTACAAAATTAGCATCTACTAAGGTTGCATCTCTTTATCGTGCTCGCCACTTTCTTACTCCGGATTCTATTCTTTATCTCAATAAATCTCAAATTCGCCCTTTTATAGAATACTGTTGCCATAGGGGTTGTCCATAAATCACGCATCGCATTAAGAGGATAGGAGGGGTTAGTTGTTTTGTGAATACTTTACAGGACTTGTTATTAAAGTTTTGTAATGTTGTGATGAGCGGAAGGGGGGGAGGGGTCAAAAACGGTCGAAAATTGCCTTTCTCTTTTAGACAAGGTGCAAAAACGCATTGTAAAATTTAGTTGAACTTGCTCTTGCAGCCAACCTCCAATCATTGTTAAATCGTTGTAATGTTGCTTCATTTTTTCTTTTCTATAGATACTATAATGGGCGCTGCTCTTAAGAGCTAGCGTCTCTTTTGCCATCTAATAAAGTTTATTCTCGTGTTACTCGTTATTCAATAAAGTCTTATCCTTTTACTGTGACTGTTCCTAAGTGCTCCCAATATTCTTATTCGTCTTGTTCTTTTCCTCGAGCATCAGTTCTTTGGAATCAATAATATTACATAATTAATTTTTTTATCAGTTTATGACGGCGATATCATTGGTAAACACGTAAAATTAACATTAATATAACTTTGTCACATCAAAAGAAAAAATATATTTTTTAAAGATGCGTCAATATTATATTACTGTACCTTACCTTTATGATTTTTAAACATACATATTAAAAAATCTCGTTTAACATGTTTGTGATAAAATATCAAAATGCTACCAATCTGTCTCTGTCTCCCAAATTTGTATTTAACCAAATATTTAATTTCTAATGCACGCGTGCATTCAGGTGATCATAGTAATCGTAAAATTTAATTACTTTTTGATTCTGCTATAACACTGCAGCACTTAAATTCACAATTATAATAATCTCCTTTTTTTGTTTTGTTTGTTTTCTATTTTATTTTTTAGTACAAATATTATTTTGTAAAAAGAATTTTTTTAATTTTTAATCATTATTTTTCTTCTAGTCAGACAAAAATTTTACTTATAATTATTTACTTAAAATTTTTACTCCTAATGTATTTAAGGGTGACCATACGTCCATCTTTTCCGTGGAGAGTTTGCTAAACTACAACATGACAGCCAATCATACTAGAATTTAATCCCGACGGCAAACGTCAAAATTAAGAACTAAATGTAATTGACAACTAGGAGCAAAAACGTTTTTTCATCTAGTAACCCTAAAGTGTTTAAATAACGGGTATCGGGGTTTCGGGCTCTTGCAAATTTTACTTTCCTAAATGATTTTTTTATCAGAGTTCCATCGCTGCCACCGTTTCTACTTTTAAATGCTTTCTCTTATTACAATTGAACGGAAATTCTGTGAACCCCACATTTAGAATCTCCAGACATTTAATGAAGAAATAATGTACTTGTTTTTATTACATTAATAAAGAATATTTTGTATTATTTATATTTTTACATTTATCAAAAGCAAAAAAATAATTTATAACTTTGTTTACGACTATGGGATCTTCCATAAATTACGAAATGCTAAATTTATTTAAAAAAAAAAGAAGTATCTGAAGCTCTTTTACGCGGCAATTTTTATTAAACTTAAAGCGCTAATTAAATTTTTCATTCAACTTAAAGCTATGCGAGGGGAAAACCTTTGATCTCTTATATTTTGTTATTAGTGAAATCATATTCATAGTATTTAAATACTATGAAATTTAGCGTTGCATAATTTATTTATCTATTTATTTATTCTTTTCATCACCCATAATTACAGGTAAAAAATACAAAGAGCATAAAGCTAATAGTTTATACTCTAAGTTAAAATTCTAATTTAGATTCTTCTTTGAATGCTTTCTTCCATCAAATTTTTGAATATCATTTTTTGTTCTCTGATGTTCCAGAATTCAAAGGACTGGTTTAAAATTTCCGCTATTTTATCTTCTACGTCATCTTTACAATGTTTGATAATGATTTTTTCCACTTCAAACACTGAACAAAGCTTAGCTCCAGGCGGTTGCAAATTTTCATTACTTCGTTGATAAAGCATTTATCCTTATTAACATCAGATATTTGAGTTAAAATCAAAATTAAAATCTAAATAAAAATCCTTTATCAAAATTTTACATAAAATAAATTTAATATAAAATTTTGGAAATATTTTTATGAAAGAACTTTAAAAAAATTTTGTCAAAATGATTGTTTTATTACGACTCATTACTTGCATAAGTTTTCAGTTTGCAAGGAATAAAATTTGTATTGAAAATTAAAATGTAAAGTTCAACTAGTCACGTGATCGTGCAAGATGTTTTTCCTGTTTCCAACTTTATAAAATCACGGTAACAATTTTTTAAAAAACCAATTAGTTTGTTATTTTTAAAAAAACCAGTTAGTTTATTATTTTTAAAAAAAAACAATTAGTTTATTATTTTTAAAAAAACCAATTAGTTTATTATTTAACTCATTAATTAACTATTTTATTTTACAAGTTAAATAAATAGTTTTGTTGCCAAGCGTTTTCAAATTTTATTGTTAAGTTGTTGTTGTTATATTAAAATCTATCTTGGCCCATTTGCCACTCCGCCCCGTTTTTCCTTACATAACGCACCACTTTAAAAAAAAAAATATTTTCATAATTATTCTCGTCACCAAATTTATTTCGTGAGACCTTTCTATACGGCGTTGGATAAA